AGCTCCGCGCGCTCCCGCTCACAAACCCGCGCCGCCTGCCTGGCCCGAGCTGCGAGGCTGCATCTACCAGAAAAAGAAGGCCTCCAGAGAGTCGGGAAAGTGCCTAGCTCTATCTTTCTTTCGGAGGGGAAGGATACGCACTTCCCGGAACCAGAAAACTGCATAGGAGATCCCCCTCCTCCATGTACATATTCTCCATCTCCCTCCCTCCGTCCCTCCTTTTCGTCCCTCCTTTTCCTCGTAGGGTAAAGAAAGAGGGCAGAGACGTCTACCTACCCTCCCTTGCAGCCTTCCTACCGCCTCCCTAATTTTTCTTGGTTTGGGTTTTAAAAACAGGGACGAAAAAAAAAAGAGCCCAAGAAAAAGAAACGGGGGGGGGGGGAAGCCACCTGCCCGTAAGCGGTGGGTGCTTTCGGGCAGGGAAGCGGGGAGCCGCTGTCGTCGGCCTTGTTCAGATTCACAACTTGTTTTCTTCTATCAATAATAAATATTTCAAAACATCATGATCACAAGGCAGCCGTCAACTAGCACGGCGGTTTAGTGAAGATCAAAGCAGCTTTTGAGATGGATGTGTGTGCTCGTGTGTGTATGGTGCGTATGTGAGAGTGTGTGAATGTATTAATCTGGGAGAAAGCGTCCCCCAAGCAGACCTTAAAAATGTAACACCTAGAAAAAGGCACTGAATAATTATTTGCACAATCCTTTTTGAGCTGTTGTTTTGGTTGGTATTGTGTATTAGGTTTGTGATACCAGATATCCCGTTTTCAGGCCGGGCTTTCAAAAGATTGCCAGGCACCTTCATGCCCACGCTTCTGGCCTCAAGCGAAAATAAAAATAAACCAAGCTATAATTCAAACGCTTCTGAGGAAAAGACCTTCATGACCCCAGCTACAGACTAAGGAGTGCTTAGATGTACAATTACGCACGCCCGACTGTTGTGCTAATCCATGCTTTTGCCTTAAATGCAGTGATCATTTGCAACATCTAAAACCAGGGGAGGAGGTGCAGGGAGAAAAAAGAGAGCGAGAAAGAAAGAGAGAGAGGGAGGGAGGGAGGGAGGGAGGGAGGGAGATTGCAATGCACAGACGTCATGCAGCGTAGACCTGCCCTCATTTGTGGTCCATTATAGTGAAGAGTCACTGTCTTCTTTAGCTGTGACTAAGAGATCTTCCTCTTCTACACCCTTTAGCTTCTACTCTCCCATTTGCCATTTGCCCTTTTCTGCAAGGGTCTTTAGTTTCAGGCAACTTCTAAATAAGGCAGGATGAAAGGGTCTGGTTGCCTCAGCACATCTCTTTGGAGGCTTCCTGCCCTATTCTCTGGATTGGTAAAATATTTATTTCTGCTTCTGCTTTCTCCAGCTTGAGGCCACCACTGGGATTATGAGAAAAAGCATCGACAAGCCCCCCCTTCTCCTTAATATATCCAACACATGCTTAATAAAACATATCTTCCTCTGTTATTTCTTTCCTCAAGCTTTACCCCTACCTAGTACGTAAGAGGTGGACTTCGAATTTACTTGGCACTCCTTGCACTCAAGTAATTCCCTCTCCCCACTCCCCAGCAAACATGGTGGAATCGAGGGGATGCTTTCAACCAGACAATCTGAAAATTAATTAAACAATCTATGCTATCTGATCGATTCGCTGATTGAGTTAAGGTGAAATAGACCAAAGAAGGAGAGCAATGCATATTCACCTTCTTTAGCTTACCTCCGATCAAGGAGAAGAGGAATGGGAGGAGGGGACTATGAAAGGAGAAGAGAAGAGTGGACATGGAAATTGTGTATCTCTCACTTTTTCAAGTGGCTATAATTTTTCCTGCAGTCATTATTGCTCAGTATTTTTCTTTCTAATCAATGGCAGAGAAACTATATAAATATATAATAATTACTACATAGCACAGGCCTTGGTATTAGGTGGAGTATATTTTAACCAATGCACCTAGGAGAGTTTAGTTCTCAAAAAATACTGGTGCAATCAGCTTGCAGATGAGAAAATGAGAAAGCAACATTCTTACTGTGTGGGAGATAGATTTATACAACTGACCTGCTCTGATATTTCTGTGGGTAATATTGCCTGTATAATTCTAAGTTGTAGAGGGATGTACATTCCTATACGTTAATTAAGAAAGCATTCTCTAAGGAAATTAGCATATTGGTGTGAAAAGTAAACTTGTTAGAATTACTTTTAAGGGTCTATTTAACTTGGGGACATCTTGTAGGTGAAGAATAATATTCTGAAGTCCAAATGATGATGACCAAATAAATAAGAAACACAGTAATCTCTAAGTAGGCTTAAACACTGATCTCTCATCTTAAAAACCAATGATTCTGAATCAAGACTTATTTTACATTTAGGATCAGATTGCTGAGTTAAGCCACTGGGACCAGGTGGCTAAAAAATGTTTTTTCCATCCATCAAAGTTTGCTTAAAAAGTTGGATGACTTGGTGAAAGATTTGCTATCAATTACCTTCTGGCCAGCAATCAAAACAAGATTAGCCCAAGTGGAAATGTGTATATATGAAAACTGAAAGGAGGAGGTAGTTGAAGTGGGGTGGGGGTAGGGAATGTATGGGGTGGAGGAAGAAACATCAGACTTGCAAAGGGGTTATGCTGGAAAATACTATTTCAGTGTATCAGTTGGTAATAACTGATTAATTATGAACAATTAAAATTGCTGTTAACTCCCCCCACCCCCAAATAGCAATACCCATATCTGCTTTATAAAACCAGCCAGGTAAAGGCTGGGCCAGGATTTGAAAAAATGGAGAATGGTGTGTGTGGGGGGTCAGACTTTTTAGTCTGGGGCCTTTTCAGTGAAGCTCTTGAAGCAAACACCTTCTTTCTTTACATTCTGGTTTAAATGTGCTGTTTTAAAACATCTCAATATTTCTGCCCTTTGTCCAGTTTAAGTCTAATCGTTCCCCTGTTTCCAAATGAATAAATGGGTTAAGAAAAAAGTATGTGAGGCTGCAGTTGAAATCACCCTGAAAAATGCCACCAGGGTCTCCTTTTGTCAGTTGTGAAAAACATGTTTCCGCCAGGAAAACAGGCCGAAGATAAAACGCAGCCTAAATGTCTCTATGGCTGCTTCGTAAATCTCCCCATTTGTTTTAAGATCTGCACTTGATCCTCTGCAAAGAAAGAGCCCTCACTCCGAGCCCTGCATTTGCAGCCAGAGGAACAAGGGGGGCAGTCACAGTCCACCTCTCTGAGCATTGCGCATACCAATGAGTCCCCATCTAAATAAATTATCCAGTGTTCAAATCGATATTAATACTACGCTTGCTACATTACAATTTTGCACAAATTTAAGAGTCATTTGACTACAATGTAAATACTATTTCTCAGGCATGTGAAGCTACAAATATTGATGGATTCTTCCTCCCAATCAGGATTTCAGCAAGTCTAGCCAGCTAAATCTTTGTACATTGCTTGGTTTCAGGTTTAAGGGGAAATTTAATAGTAGGGGATACTAAAAAACAAACAAACAAGAAACTGTTTTTTTAAACAACACAACCATTACTGCAACCCTTCAATCCTACACAATCCTACTTGGGAGTAAATTCTATTGCATTTGATGGGATTTATTTTTGAACAGACATGTATATGATTGTCCTGTGTGAGGTGCAAATTTAACTCACAGACAGCCATGCCTTTCAAGTAAGACCCAAAGGCCATCTCATGTTTATTCATAAATCCTTGATCTTGAATGTGTGTATATGTGACTTGACCAGGTTTGCAATAATAAAAGATGCCTGGATTTTTATAGACTTCAACCTGAGCACTTCAAAGGTGAGGTTAATGGCCTCTTTTGCAAAGTTAATTTGAGCCATCTATCATAACCAAAATTATGGACCAGCACATTATCCATGCCTGTCTCTGCTTGGGGGGGAGGGGGGTTGCAACTAATCTGTTAATATTAGTATAGAGTTGCATCGTGTGAACCAGAGCTGGGAGATGAGAAACTACAGAAGCACAGAAATGTTGGGAGGTGGGGGAGAAAGAATTAAAAAGGGGGGCTGAAACCATGAGAAAAGGGCAAGAAAATATTTCTGCAGATGAGGGTTTGCAACCTTGGGGTGAGCCTGTCTCTTTCTCTCCCCACTTCTTTTTAAGCAGGGAAGGAGTCATTTTTGGCACTTTTTACCAGCTCCTCCGGCCACAGCAATTGGAATTATGAGTAGTTTCTAGTAAAAAAAAAAAGGGGGGGGGAGCAGAATCACATAGCAATGAAGTAGTAATATTGATGATTTGTGTGTCTGCCTTCCCTATTCAACAAGCTCTGGTGAAAAGCCTTTTGACCAAGGCTTTAAACCTCCTCCCCGCTTTTCTCTCTCTCTGTCTCTCACACACATAGGGAGTTGCTAAGAGAAAGAGGTGTGTGGGAAACCCACCAGCTCCCACTCCTTCGAAGCCAATCTCTGGTGAAGGCAGCGCATCCCTTAAGCCTTCACCTTGCCAATTTCACTGCAGGCCTGCAGGCAGCTGCCACGGACCACATCCAATGCCTCGCGCGGCCTGTACGCCAGGCCCGAGCGGGGTTTGGCCCTCACTGCCTTGGGTGGTGGGGAGCTGCCCCTCCTTTGGCAGAGGCCTCTGGGAAGGGGCTGGCGAGCCCGCTCTGCTTGGGGGAGAGTGGGGCTGGGCCGTGCCGGCCTACTCCAACCTACTACCCCAGCCCGGCCCGGCCCAGCCCGCCCGGCTCACTGACCTGAGGTGAAGAGGACGATGGCTTTGAGGCAGCTGTATTCGGCGGAGTCTACGTGCAGGGCCTTGAGCTTCTCCACCTGCTCCTGGAAGATGCGGATGTGGTCCATGAAGGCCACCACGCGGTCAGCAGACATGGGTGAGGCGTGGAGTCCGGCAGCGGCCAAGAGTGGGGCCACGTGCAGCGGCATGGAGCACTGGGCAGCGTTGAGGACGAAGAGCTCGCTCCAGGTGAGGCGCAGCAGGGCCACCTGGTCGGTGATCTGCAGGTCCGGGAAGAAGGGGATGTTGCGGGCCCACTCGACGGCGCTGAAGAGCAGCCGTGCTGCCAGCTCACAGATGTTCTCGATGCCCATGATGTTGTTGGGCTGCATGCACTGGCTGCCGTAGCGTGAGGTTGGGTAAGGCTCGGCTCTCAGCAGCAGCGAGATGTAGCCGGACAGGTAGCAGTGTCCGTTCAGCGGGTCGCCGTTGGTCAGCGCGTACTGGCCCGGGTTCGGCTGGCTCGGAGGCATCCTTCCTCGCTGAACCGCTGACGAAAAGAGGGAGAGAGAGAGAAAAGGAGAGGAAATGTGCATCCGGCAGCCTGGGCAAACCCCAGCCCGCCAGACAGCCGTTGCCACGCGCGAGGCAAAAGCAGCAGCAGCAGCAGCAGCAGCAGCCGAAGCAACGCGCGCGCACACTCACACTCACACACACACACAAACACACACACACAAGCGCGCTCCCTCTGACATACACACACACAAACACACACAAAAATCAGAAGGTATGTATATGGGTAATACGGCAGACATACACACAAGGTAAGCCCCCCCACCTTGCATTGTTGTGCAAATGGGGACGCCCAGATGCTCCTGCAAGGGAGACTGCCTTTCTCCTTGCAAGACTATGATGATGATGATGATGATGATGATGATGACAATAATACATTACAGATAAGAGCAGACTTTCAAAGCTGCCTCTGCTAAAACTACAAAAAAATCAGGCCCCACCTGCAAAATGCTCCCTCTTCATCTTTCCAGAGAACCAGTTAGACATTCTGGGTCCTCTTTAGCCTAGTCAGTACTCAAAGTTGCTGCAATTGCAAAATACCATCCAGCCAAGCCTTCTCTTTATTTGCCAGTCTGGGATCGCACAATAAGGCTACCAAACTGTTGGAGGGGGCGGGGGTCAGGGAGAGCTCCCCTTAGCCTTGCAAGCTATCCTGCCTAGACAATCAGGTCTCAGTCTAACTAAATACACACACACACACACACACACACATATGCAAGCCCCTGCCCAATTTAAATGGAGCACTCTGTATTCAAAAGGATGGGGGAATTGTTATTTTTCAAAGAGATGAATTAAAATAAAATGTGGACTTACAGAAGCCAAACATGAGCGGCAAGGAGGGAAGGATAATATCAAATCTTTAACTGTGTGGTTCCAGAAAGCACCAGCATGCCTACTGCTTTGACCAGTGAAGACAAACATTTGCAACTGTGCAACACATGCACAACACACACACACACGCACACACGCCTGCACGTACCACCCGAATGCCATGGATTCATTCACTATCCCAAATGTAAGCATGCTTGGACTTCTCTAAAGCTGAACAAAGTTTGTGTGTGTGTGAAACACATGTGGTTTCACTAATTTGAGGCCAAGAAATTCTAACTTGAGGTATATAAATAAAGGTGACAAGGTGAAGAGAGGGCCTCTGGTGAATATTTTAGAGTCCCCCAAATTAATATTTTCAGTTTCATACCATTACATATTTTTATATTTTTCAATCAGAACATTTCTATCTAGCTGTCAGAACATCTTTTCTATTTCTATAGTTTAGATTTCCAAAGCTGCAGCTGTACATTTGAAACACAGTTCAAAGATGGTGAAGGATTTATCTCCTTCATACATTTCTGCACTGATTCCTTTCTAGTTATATGTTTCTTTAAGACCCCTTTTCTGACAAAAGCTGGCTGAAGCTACAGATGAAGTCATCAGTGGTCAGTTTAAAAAAAATAATTCTTTTTTCTATGGCACAAGTGAGAAAGTATTTTAACATTTTTTTTCAAATTTTCACTGCAGAAAATGGATTATTTGATTTGATAACTTAGGGCATTTTTAACCAGAGCATGGAAATAGCATATATTGCAGTAAATCTGGGCAAAGGAAAACATAAAAAGAAAAAAGTAGACAGAGAAATATTACAAATAAAGGGCTGCTCTCTTTGGGGGGGGGGGAGGACCTAGCTATTACAACACTTGGAAGTATTTGTGTTTGTTTTCAAACACTG